GACTTGAGGATGACGGCTATGATGAAGCCGATCCAAGATAGATGATCACGCCCTGGCCGAGGGACCAGACATGATTTGAGGACGACGGTGCTGATGAGGCTGGTCCAAATAAATGATGACGAAGGCATGTGATGAAGCCGTTCGTCATGTGAACTCAAAGCTCTCGGTGCTGAGGCTGCCGGCCTTGAGATAGATAATCACCTTGAGGCCGAGGGGCCGTTCATTTTGAGGACGAGGTTCGCCATCCAGGAAGGAAATGGCGAGCCCGCTCGCTGGCCCAAGACGTTCGGCATTGAGGAGGCCGGTTTTGAGACGAAGGATCACGTTGAGACCGGGGGGTCTGCCGTGATCTGAGGACGACGGCGCTGATGAATCCACTCCTCGTATGAAGGCGAGGGTCGCCATCCAGGAAGGGAATGGTGAGCCCGCTCGCTAGTTCAAGACGCCCGGCGCTGAGGAGGCCGGTCTTGAGATGAAGGATCACATTGAGACCGGGGGGGGGGGGGGGGATCTGCCGTGATTTGAGGACGACGGCGCTGGTGAAGCCGCTCCTCATATGAAGGCGAGGGTCGCCATCCAGGAAGGGAATGGCGAGCCCGCTCGCAAGCTCAAGACGCTCGGCGCTGAGGGGGCCGGTCTTTAGATGAAGGATCACGTTGAGACCGGGGGGTCTGCCGTGATCTGAGGACGACGACGCTGATGAAGCCGCTCCTCGTATGAAGGTGAGGGTCGCCATCCAGGAAGGGAATGGCGAGCCCGCTCGCAAGCTCAAGACGCTCGGTGCTGAGGAGGGCGGTCTTGAGATGAAGGATCACGTTGAGACCGGGGGGTCTGCCGTGATCTGAGGACGACGGCGCTGATGAAGCCGCTCCTCGTATGAAGGCGAGGGTCGCCATCCAGGAAGAGAATGGAGAGCCCGCTCGCAAGCTCAAGACGCTCGGCGCTGAGGAGGCCGATCTTGAGATGAAGGATCACGTTGAGACCGGGGGGGTCTGCCGTGATCTGAGGACGATGGCGTTGATGAAGCCAGTCGTCTGAAGATGAAGGGGGCGGATCCGGTCCTATGATGAGGACGACGAAGCCGTACCTATAATGAAGGACGACGTTGAGCGCTCGTCTGATCCGCATATATGATCTTGCTTCGTCCATAATGCATAGTATTTGCCTGATATGTACTTAGCCAAATATGTGGCTTGATTTGTGGGGATTTCATTTTTATTGCTCGAGGCCGGCGAGTGCTCGGTCCTTAGCTTCCCTCTTTTGATTTGTGGGGATTTCGCTCGAGGCCGACGAGTGCGCGGTCCTCGGCTCTCCCTCTTTTAATTTGTGGGGATTTCGCTCGAGGCCGGCGTGTGCGCGGTCCTCGGCTCTCCCTCTTTTAATTTGTGGGGATTTCGCTCGAGGCCGGCGAGTGCACGGTCCTCGGCTGTCCCTCTTTTATTTCTTCCTCTACTGCTATGAGCGAGGAGTGGGGGGTCCTTCTTTCAGGCTCGACCGAGGGGGTTGCTATTCCCTCGGCCGATAGGGAGTCCAGGAGGGCAACTGTCCGGCCTCTGGCGCTGGCGCGTCCCTAGACCTTGGGCGGTCCCATCGTCTATTTATGGCGCGGGCTAGGCTTTTGGTCGGTTACCGACGGCTGCCGTTTCCCAACCCCAAGTGTGGGGATTTTGTCACCTCGGCCATTCTTTCAGGCCTGTCATAATGCGATTTAGCGCGAAGACGACGCAGTGAGCTTCCCATTTCAAGACGTGGGCCGTTTGCGGGCCCCTCGTCCTGGGACATCGTCGGCCATGCCTGAGCGTTTCGCTCGAAGGGGCCGAGACGATGTGCTGTTTTGTGTGGCGTCGTCGGCCATACTTGAGCGTTTCGCTCAAAGGGGCCGAAGCGACGTGCTTTGTTGTGTGGCATCCTTTACTTAAACTTTACAAGAAATAAGCAGAACACAATAGGTGCGTTGTTTATGGCAACGACTTTTATTAGGGTCAGTGGCTCGAGGCCGAGGGGGGTAACCTTCTGAACAACTCGTACAAGAGTTAGCTTCCCAATGAGTTTCTGACCTTGGGGTGGGGGCTCTGCCGTCTGCACCCTCTTCGGATTGCTGGTAGAACTTCACCGAGATGTAGGGCCCTTCGTATTTTGAGGGATAAGCCGTCGGCCGTGCGTCCCTTCGAGGAAGGACGCAGTCAGTGGATGTGACACTTCTTCAGTTGGGGCTCCTCGAAGTCCTCGTCATCGCTGAGCTTCCCAATTTCATGCTTCTTCGTTGAGGTGTCCCCTTCCTGATTGCCGGTGGAGTTCCTTGAGGTAACTTTGACAAATTGGTGGAGTTCACCCCGTTGAATCAAGCGCTCAATGGCTTTCTTCAGCGCGACGCAGTCGTCTGTATTGTGGGAGGTGTTCTTGTGGTAACGACAATAAGTGCCACCCTGGTGGACGACGTAAACTTCCGTGGCCGACCGGGGATCTTTAGGGATGAGACCTTGCTCCTCCGCATAGTCGAAGATGGTATCCACCGAGTGCGTGAGCGTAGTCCTTGGGACGTCCGTCCTCGGCTGCCATGGGCGCTCCTTCCGGTTTCGGTGGGCATGGCCCCCGGCCGAGGATGCATTTGGAGCCGACGCCTCGTCTGGCCTCTTTGATGGTTGGCCTACGTCCTTCTTGCGGGAGTGGAGCTCATCGGCGTCAGCGTACAAGCTCCCTCGTTGGAGTGCCTTGGTGTATGACCTCGGCGGGTCAGTGATGAGGCTCCTCACATAGGGGCTGCTGCGGAGAACGCCTTGGAAGAGGACGAGGAGGGTGCGCTCATCGGCACCTTCGACCTCGTCTGTCTCCTTCGTCCATCGATCGATGAAAGACCGAAGTGACTCATCGTGTTGCTGCTTGATGGAGAGAAGGTGGGAGAAATGTTTTCTCACGCGCTTCCTTCCGGCGAAGTGGGTGAGGAAGCGTTGGGCAAGATCCTGCCACGAATCTATGCTTCCTTCGGGGAGTGCGTTGAACCACTCGTACGCTGGCCCTTCAAGAGTGGAAAGGAACCAACGACAGAGGTATTCATCTGATGCGTTCACCATCAGCATGTTGTTTTGATAGCGGCTGAAGTGCTCCTGAGGGTCAGAGCGGCCGTCATAGGGCTTGATGGCGTTCCCTCGGTACTTCTCGGGTATTGGGGCCGAGAGCACCCTCGTGGTGAAGGGAGTTTTTGTTCTGATTTGGATGATGGGGTCACCACGTCTGTCGGCCAGCTCCCTCTCCAGGGCGCTGACCTTAAGCATGAGCGCGTGGTAACCTGGACCCTCGGGTGAGTTGGCCGTAGGGATGGTGGCCGATTGTCTAGCCTCCATCTGGGCCAGTCTCCTTTCCAGCTGGGCGATGAACTCGTCACGAGGGTCCTTGGCGGCCGTAGTGGCGCCTTGCTGGTTGCGCACGCGAGCTTCTTGAGTCGTGTTGATTCGATGACGCGCATTGTGCTCGTGCAACTTTCCTTTGCCTTTGTCCAGGTGGGGCCGATCCGCTGTCCGGGATACGGACCCCAAGCTTTCCCTTGGTGAGCCAGGCTCACGTTCACCAATCCGTCCTGCCATCCTCTCCGAAGCAGGCCGACGACGCGTGTCACCTAGCCTATTAAAGGCTGAGGCTTTTCCACGCGCTGGGGTCGGTCCAGCTCGAAGTGGGGAAGCAGGGTGGGAGTGGGATGACGACGTGTCCTGGGGCACCACCCCTTCGTCGTTGCCTATCTGGACGGCCAACGGTTGGGGCTGAGGAGGTGGAGTGACGTTCCCCCCGGTCCTTGGCAAGAGTGCGCTGAGGACGGTGGGGTTCTGGGCCAAGCTGGCGATGATGACCGACAGCGCGGCCTGGACCTGTGGATCCACAGACGGAGAGGCCGCGGGCATAGGCTGGGCCGGGGCGTGGTCTGTCTTCTCAGCTCGTTTCTTGTCCAAGCCGATGCGGGCATCAGGGGCTCCGCCGTTGAGTTGGTTGCGGAGGTCCGTTGTGAGGTTGATGGCCTCCTGGAAGACGTCCCCTCCGCCGACCTGGTCGGCCGTAGCATCCTCCTCGTGCTCCCTGATCTCTTGGTCCTCAGGGATGGCCTTGCTTACGAGGTTGCGGTTTGACTTAGTTCTTCCCATGGTCAGTGGTTAGCTGTGCTTGGCAGCGACGAAGGGTTCTAACTTGATTGTTCTAGCTCTCAACGAGAGCACCAAATGATAGAGTATATATCTAGAGAGAAGTGAGAGCTAGAGAGAGAAGTGCAATATATGCTTCAATAGAATGATTTTGTAACCCCCATAACTACCTCTAGAGGAAGTATTTATAGGAAAAATACGGGCTGGGCTCCCAAACCTTGGGCTTGGGAGGCCCATTTACAACTGGACCGCTATTGGGCCGAATACAAAGCCACTGGTGGGCTATACAAATGAATAAGTGTAAAATCCGGTTCTATGAGACTTCCGTGGCCGACGAAGGCATGGCCGACGAGGGCATGGCCGACGAGGGCATGGCCGATGAGGGCATGGCCGATGAGGGCATGGCTGACGAGGTCACCCGGTTCTCCTGACTTCTGGATCATATTCTGGGTGGCCTTCTTTCCGGCCGATGAGGGCATGCCCGATGAGAGCATGGCCGATGAGGGCACCCGGTTCTCCGGGCTTCTGGATCATATTCTGAGTAGACCTTTTCCTGGCCAATGAGGGCATGACCGATGAGAGCATGGCCGATGAGGGCACCCGGTTCTCCGGGCTTCTGGATCATATTCTGGATGGCCTTCTTTATGGCCGATGAGGGCATGGCCGACGAGGTCACCCGGTGATCGTGTTACCTTCCGTTCTTCTGAGTATGTGGGTCCTGCGGCCTAGACCGATATACTCCATAAGATGTATGCAGGGCCGGCCCTGGGCATGTGTACCCCGTCCCGGGGCCCAAAATTTTGGAAGGCCCAATTTTTTAATACTAGTATTATACACCCCACGGTCCGAAGGCTTGAACTGCTAAGTCTGCGAAGGAAACTGAAAGAAGCGCGAACGAAGGGAACCGCAATACTGAAGGCTGAAGCTTAACTGCTAAAGGTCGAAGGAAATACAGAACCAATGCTGAATACAGAAGGGAGAAGACGGGAAGAAAGACCCGCTGGCCGCTGACGACCGCCGCTAGTCAGCGCCAGTCCTCCAGCCTGACACCACCGCACGTTTGCACCACGCAGCGACGCCCCTGCCTGACCGCCTCCGGCCTCCAGGACCACGACCACACCAGCCCGTCAGTCCACTGTCCACGCTAGGCTGCTACCCGACTCCTGCAGTAACCGGTAAGCAATTAAGCAGATTTTTCTGATTTCTTTGACTTTGACTCTTTGAATTGCAAATTAGTGAAATTAATTAGTTCTTTGTTGCCTACTTTTGGGGCCCTTGTTGTGATTTGTTTATCTATTGTAGTAGTTTATTCCTTATTGAGTAATTGAATTGAGAACAAGTGTGTTTAAAAGTTATTCAATTAAGAATTTGAATAATGTAAATTAAATTTTAAGCTAATTTTTTTTAACATGTAGAGGATTAGGTGAGAATTTGAATAATTGATATTTGGTAGTAAATTGTGTTGGAACTTGGGAAAAAGGCCCGATTTTTGTTGTTGCACAGGGTACCTAATTTCTCAAGACCGGCCCTGTGTGTATGCATATGAAGCTCGAAAGTTCAAACCCACTTGTAGCGCTTTAGGGCTGAGCAGCTTAGTAACTTTAGCGTATAACACTTTTCCAGTATTAATGCTTTCTGTTTTTCTTTTATTTGTATCGTTTTGCCTAATTTTTATATACGTAATACTAGTATATAGTTTTGCTTAACTTATCTTCTTGTTAATTTATAGAAAAGGCTAATTTCTGTTAGAATTTATGAATTGTTGTATTTTATTTATTGCTTCCCTTTTTCCACACCTAAAGTATTCACTTTCTCCCCTTTGCTTTTTTAATGTAAAAATAGATGCTTTAGTTCCCGGAGTCTTGTAAGCTCATATGCACACAAATACGGTTTGCTCTTGAGGCCCTGCTTTAATATAAAAAACTTAAAAATATCCTCGATCTAAATTCTTATTATACTAAAATCAATTGAATACTCATTAAATAATGCAATTAAAAACTTACAAGTAGTAATTTTCCCTTTTCAAATGATTAATCTCTACATTTTTTGTGAAGTGTTTCAATTATGAGGGTATTATTACACGAAGTAGTGGAGTATGAATTTAGCTACAACCCATATTCATATACAATAGTATACAATATAAACTATTATATTATATAATTAATTAATTAATTACTATTAGTGACATACAAATACTACTACTAGTGTCTTATAAATATTGGGGCCCCATGGAAAGTGTGACCCTGTTCTGTTTAACCTAATTAACATGCTAAAAAACGGCCATGTACAAGGGCGGAGCTAAGGGGGGTCAGGAGAGTCGGCCGACCCCCCTGAAAGTTCGAGAATCTAGAGCTCTGAAATACCTTCAATTTGATATATTTTGGGTCCCGAAACTCATTACGAGTAAAAGTTATGACTTCTGGAAAAATCATCATAATCTTAACTTGAAAGAAGCAAAATTTGATGTGTGGTATTGATTATATGCTTAAATTTAAAAATAAAACACCTTGTTCACTCATTAGTTGTGTGAACTTTATGATACATTACATATGTATCAACACTTTAACTCAAAAAGTCTCATTATACTATCATTTATCTCAGCTACATATGAAACATTTAACTCAAGTATTATTTAATAAGAATCCACCATTTTGATACTGTATATAATTAAATTTGGACCCTCCTCACCCGTTTTTCTGGCTCCGCCACCGTCTATGTCTATGTATTACTATGCAAAAACAACAAAATCTAACAATTTATTCCTCCAATTGCGCTTTTATCTGTGCCCTCATGGGTTAATCTTACAATATATGCGTATTTGTCTCAAATTTGCTAAATTTGTGGTATGTATATGTCTCGCTGCTTGCCTGCTGCAGTGTCTTTATGCTCAGACAGTTCAGTGTTCTAAAGCTTCTTGCTTTGGAGTTGCAGAATATTGTATATTTTTAGTTATTTGGGACTAAGGCTTGGATGTTATTGTGTTTATTTTTTATGATTTGTTGAAGATGATTCCGTACAATCCATGTGGTAGACCTCAGACAACCGTAGTGCCTCCTCGAACCATCAATGTACAAAAATTTGCTGAATCTCGAGGACCTGAACTTGAGACTCTTCACTGTATTATAAAGAACCGCCTACAAAATGACTTCCGTTCTCAAAGAAGCAAGAGGAGGAGGACAACTGGGCATGATAATCGAGCAACCAAAAACAAACACAAAAAGAAGCGGAAGGTAGAAAACAAAGATGTGGACAGGACTCAAAGTTTGGGGAATGATAAGGTTGCTCCTCGCCGTGTTCGTAGGAGAATTGAATTTAGTAAGAACCTCAATAGTGGGTTTTTGACTTCAGGAGATGGGACTAAAAGAATTAGAACACATGTATGGCATGCAAAGCGTTTCACAATGACCAAACTTTGGGGGTTTTACCTTCCCCTTAGCCTACAAGGCAGGTAAAACATTGCCTTTTCAGTTCTTGTTACTCAGGATATTGCACACACATTAATAATGAAAATAAAAAAGTAATTCTCTCGACCACTATCTATTCAACTGGGGATACATTGAATAGTTTTGGTTGCATATGCTACATATGTTAATGTTGGGTATGACCGTATGGCATGTACCAAGAATGACAATTGAATACAATTTTCAGCAACTAAGCCTGCAGTATTATATTTGGATGGTGTTTGCATTATCTAAGAAATGATTTTTTAATTGTTTCCATTTATTTTCAATGTGAACTTTACACAGTGGAAGAGGCTCAAGGGCACTTTTGAAGAAACTTAAAGACAGCGCTCTTGTGCATGACACAAGCTATTGTACTGTTATACAGCTGGAGGGCCTGGAGGTTGATATCCCGTTTCATTTACATTACTTTTATTCATCTGATTTTAGTACAGGGTTAAGATTGCGTACATTCGACCCCCCTTACCCCACCGTAGGTGGGAGCCTTTGCGGCACTGGAGTAATGATGATGACTTAATTATAGGAAAATAAATAACAATATGTTGCTTTAAGGACATTACCTTGTTTATATGACCTATGACTATCAACTACTTTATTAACATTTAACGATATTGTATATTTTTCCAGGAAATGGTACAGTCAGTTTTAGCTAGCACAATGGTGTCTTCATCATCAAAGAGTGAATATGCTTCTGAGTACATACTCTCCGGTCTTATTTGTTGTAAAGCCATGGTAAGTGTACTGTGTTCTTTATTTCCTCCTAAGTAATAAGTAAGTTATATGTAATAGTACTTAATAATTGTGTGTACTTTTGCAGCTTCATCATTTTGGGGCGCCCTTCTCTTCTCCCATCGCTCCTATTATGTACATGTGGCAACCTCAGAAGTCTTGCAGTATAAATGCTAAGGTTGCTGAAAGCACATTCAAGAGTCTGAATGGAGTTGATGAATTTGCTTCTTCTCGGCGACTATGGATTTTCATACACGCTTCAGCTTTTGGAGAAGGGTTTGAGGCCTTGCAGCATGCCTGCAAACAACATGTAAGCTACCAACTTCCATGTTTTGCAATACAGGCTCGGGGAACTAAATCAGCATTATAGTCTTCATAATATCAGCATTAGTATCATTTTATATAATTATAGTAATAGCCTATGTTTTAATAACCGCACTAGACCGGGCTGGTCGACCCGGAACTCGGAGCCCAATTTGGTCCGGTAGCCCATCAAACTGCTAATGTGTCCGAACCCGGATTTACCCGCCAGTCCCGGACCATAACCGGGACAGCCCAAACCCTGAAGGTGAGTAAAACCCGGAATCAATTGCAAAATATGTAGCCAAGGGGGATTTGAACCTTGGTCTACAATTAGACAATGCAACCTCCAAACCAGCGAACTACGTTGGGAAGTTGTTACATTGTGATCTTTAACTGTATTTATTATTCCCTCTGTCCTAAAATGAAGTTCCCGGTTTGACCTACACACATATTTATGTAAGATAGTGTTAAAACTTGAGGTTTCATCCTAAAAGGTCAACCTGATAGGAGGAGTAGCCCAACGCCTTATATAGTGTTTTATTATTTTATAGCTTTCCAGTGTGGGACAAATACTTCAACACACCCCCTCAGCCCGAACCGGGCTGGACAATATTGGGGTGTATAAATGGGCCAAACAGATCCTTAACAAGCTATCCGTAATCATGGGTGCTAAACAAGCAGTCAAAACACAACCAGAATTGGCTCTGATACCATGTTAAGACTTGAGGTTCCATCCTAAAAGGTCAACCTGATAGGAGGAGTAGCCCAAAGCCTTATATAGTGTTTTATTATTTTATAGCTTTCCAGTGTGGGACAAATACTTCAACAGATAGAGTTTTGTTTTGACTTTCCAAGTATATCCTTGCTTTATTTCAAATCAAACAAAAAGTGCGTAAAAAGTAAGGGTAATTGCGACTTTTTGGTTAAAAGTTGTTTCCTTTTATAGAAATGTGAACTTCTTTATGTGACATCCATAAAAGAAAAGCGAGAACTTGTTTTCGGGACAAAGGTAGTGTATACGTAGTATTTTATTTCAGTTAATACATTATAATCTAACTAATACTTTGTAATTAATAATCATAACAAAAATATAACATCATTAATAAACACTACGTATTCTTATTTTTATTATAATAAGAGAAGGCATTTATATAATATTTAATTTTTTAATAAGCATCATATTCGTATTTATTGTCCACTTAATTTAAAATACATGTCATGTTTTATTAAAACTTGTATATTTTAGAATAATAATATAATTTCTATGCTGACCGGGTATTCTGGCATTGAACGGGTTGACCATCCGGGTCCGGGTTGACCCATGACCCGGTCATTTCATATTACCTATGTTTTTAAAACATAGGTAATAGCCTTCTATTCATATTGGTAGTGTTTTAGTTAGTATTTTTGATAGTGATATTGTAATAGTTAGGACTCCAATACGCGCACCAAGATAGTTAGGACCGGTATAAACAAAGGACTTCTATTGGTTAATAACGTGAGTTCCTGTACGTCTCGGGCAAAGTCAAACTCTGAAGTTCCCATTACCGAGTTGCTTTAATTAACCACCGGACAAGAATGTTGGTAGTTAGGTTGTATGTTGATATCCTTGTGATTATATAAGCTCTATGGTAAATTTATAATGTTTGTGCAGTATAGATCACTACTTCTGTTGTTCTTAACCATCAGATGAGTTCCAACAATTTGACTGTTAGTTGTATCTCTCTTGAGGACCGGCTTACAAAATTAGAAGTTATTGGATCGACGGCACTTCAAGTCCTTAAAAAGGCATTACATCCTGCTCACCAGTGAGATAATTAGTGATTGGACCTTTTACATAATTTAGCTGAATGTCTAGCCTAAACATGTCTAATTGGTATCGTTACCTTTGCAGTGAAAGTCAATTTGCAAAAGCACTTGAGGAAGATCAAATTCCGTATTTTGGGATTTCTTCCCTCACTGTTGTGGATCCTCGCTGTTGTACTGAGGGTGGTGTTTCTAATTCTTCAGATATAAATGCTCTAGGAGAACCAGCTTATATGGAGCATGGAATTAAACAAAATGCTGCTTTGGTTGAACATTCTGAAATGGAATGTAATTCACCTTCACGTCAATGCTCAGAATTTGAAGAAAGCTGTGATTTATCTGTGTGTATGGATTTGTGGCAATTGTACAAAGATGTAAGTCCTCCTATAGAGGAAAGTGTTCTTTGCGCAGAGAGACACAACCGGCGTATGAAATTGTTTGGGCTTGGTGATAGGATTTCTGGGGCATTAGATGCTCCAAACATTATACAGCGCCCGAGATCATGTCCTATTTTGCTCATTAAGAATTACAGCCAGATGTCTTCTCCTAAAAGGTGAATTTCCTCTAGTGGCCATTTTGTATGTTTTATTTAACTGAAGTTGCTGAACCTGATGAATTTTCTGTAAAGTTGTGTTAGGTAAATTCAATTTTAGCCAAATAAGTAGGTCAAAAGCTACTTTTCTATAAGAACCGATTATTTTGCAGATACGCAAAATAAGATAATAAGCTCATAATGGTTGTCAAACGGAGCCAAACTGATTTTTGAGCATAAATACAAAAAGATAGGCAGTATGCACTATGCAGTTTTATAGAAGCACATGACTTCTACTACGCATGAGGGTGTTCACATTGATATTGCACAACTTTATTTCTTTTCAGCCTATGCTAGGATTTGATTACTTTTGATGTTTGCCCTGGACCTTTTGTTGTTGAAACTTTTTTTGGAGGAAATAATTCTTAAATATTTGTTACTGTAATGTGATCTAGCTATCCTTTTATGCATTCTTAGCTGATGGATCAACTTTATGACTTGAAATGATAGTTTACCAAAGAACTTGATCGGGGGTGGTCTAATACTGTAATACTTTCATCTCTTCACCTTAAGATTTTTAAATCATATGAACTGTTCCGCTGCCTAACGGTCACATTTCTCATAGATGGTCTATTATTCTTCCTCTAAGTTGGGTTAAGGTCATATGGATTAGTCTCATCTCCAATGGTGCTCATGCAATGGGTCTTACAGAGAAGCATTGGGTTGCTTGTGAAGTAAGTAGACGTTTTCTTTTGACTGAATCTTTCTTTCACCCTCTTTTAAAATTGGAAAAGTGTCAAATAAGTCCCTCTACTATTACGAAAATGTCAATTAAACCCACCAACTCAAATATCACCCAATTAAACCCACAAACACATAAAAAAAGTTCAAATTTGCTTTTTAGCAGGTAACATTCAGGTTTCAGGTTCATATGATGTGGCATTCAATTTTTGTATTTTCTCCTTTTTCTTTATTTTCTTTCTTTCTCTCTTTCTTCCCCATTCCCTTCTCTTCTCCAGCGGATTGCCCCATTCTCCTGCGCCTTGCTTATTTTGTTTCTTTCTTTCCCTTCTTTCCCTTTCTTTCTTTCTTTCCCTTTCTTTGTTTCCTTCTTTATTTTACAATCACCTGGCTGCCCATTGGATCCAAACGCCGGTCTTCTTCCCCGGCCAACCTCTGGCAAAGCGATATAAGGTTGTCCGAGCGCTGGTCACCATCTCCGGTCAATTTCCAGCAAAGAGAGCGCCGGTTGCTTCACCGAGCGTTGTCCTCCTCTCTTACCAACGTTCCGTCTCATGAAGTACCAATCTTCTCCATCAATTTGTTATTTTATTTATTTTTGTGTGTATCCATGGATTGGATGGGTATGTTAAACCCCCCCCAAAAAGTGAGAAACAGGGGATAGCTTGAGGTTGTGAACGTGTGATTAAGCCAAAATGGAGAGACTAAGAATGAAAGCAAAAGAAAATAAGGAACGGGGAGGGAGCTAGAAACAGCGGCGAATAAAGAGTCAACCGGAAAAGAGAGAAAGGAAGAAGGAAAGAAGAAAGAGAAAGAAAAAGGAAAGGAAAAAAAAAGCAGATGTCGCCACGTGTAGCCATTTAGTTGATGATCGGTTGATCACCTAGTAAAAAGCAGATTTTGAACGTTTTTTACAAGTTCACATACTTAATTGGGTGATATTTGAGTTGGTGAGCTTAATTGACATTTTCGTATAGTAGGGGGGCTTATTTGACTCTTTTCCCTTTGAAATTCTTATTGTATATTCTTTACTTTCTTTATCTTTGCAGTCTGGCTTGCCATGCTTCCCTTCTGACTTTCCTGATTGCAAGTCATATTCATGTTTTATGGAAATGGAAGAAATTGCTGCTAATGAAAAGGCAGGGAGAATTCCTCCTCCCTTGAGGCCTTTCAGAGTTCCAATTCAGTCCCCTTGGAATAGTGTACATCTTTCTATTGAAAAAAACTCATCCTCCATGGAAAGAAATTTTGAACTACAACGTGAAGAGCTATGCATGGAAGACATTGAAAAAAAGAGCTTAACTGATTTCACTGGCTATAGAGGAGATTGTTGCACTGCTATTCCATTTACGGGGTTTGTAGCGAGGACATCCCACATTTTTAGCCAGTTTTTGAATCAAATCAATGGAAGCCATTTGCTTTTGTTTCCAAAACTTGTCAATGCAGAGAAGTGCATATCTAAAGTTATTAAAGAAAATAGAGAGAACCCCAACGGGGTTATCTTTCGTGTAAATTATGGACCAAAATTGTGTTTCATAAGGGTGTTGTTGCATGCCTACAACAAAGGAGTTTTTGAAGGAGGAGCAGTGGTTTGTGCCCCTCAAGTTGATGAATTGTTGTTGTTGACTCAGAGGTAATTATTTTATTGTAGTCTTTCTTTTTACATTCTACTGTTGTATTATCTGATTATTTAACCAATATCATTATTTTCCCCTAGCTGACTGGACGTCAGGAAGTGGACAATTCATCTGATTATGAACTAATGTGTAGGACAGTAGGGTTGAAAAGAGAAAGGAATAACGTGAATGTGCATGCTGCTTTCACTAAATAAACAGTTGTTGGTACAACTTTTGGTGTGACCCTTGCCTTGACATCACCTAGAGTGATATGTGCATACACACACATATATGTACACATACAAATAAATAAATACATACATCCATGATACATTCATATGTAGAGATAGAGTTATCTTCCGGTCAGGTATACCTGACCACCTCAATTTGAGGTTCCGGATGGAATTTTTTATGAAATTTTGTGAACATGTTCTCCATAAAGTGTAGATTATGCCCACAAAATTTCAGCTTAAATTCAATTGGGAAGTCAGTTAAATCAATTATTAAAAACAACTGCGCCAAATTATATATAAAAACGCAGTTATTTTAAAAAATTTGATATTGAAATTTTTTAATGATATGAATTCAACAATATTTTTCAAAAATATATTCTCATACATTAATAAATAAAAAGTAGTCAAAGTGGAGCATGTGAACCGTGTAAAATTTAACCTGTTACAACTACAAAGGAACGTGTATAGGTAGTATATATAAACGAATCAGCTGAGAAGCCTTCTTAGGCTGAAAAGTTAGAAGTTATCTCAGCTGTTTATCTGAGAAGTAATCTTTGTGAAATAAAAACTTAGTTACAAAAGGAACAAGACCAAACATGTAAATTGTAATAAGCTGAAAAACTTTTAGTAATCTTGGGAAAATAAAAACTTAGAGTACATAAAACTTAACTTTTAAGACAGAAATGTACAACTTCTCATCGGTTTTCATCTTTCATGTAACAATAGTGATAGCAATAATAAAAAGTGAAGCATCGTAGAAGTTTTATATGCTTTGCCTTAAAAGTTGAGATCTTTTAAAGTAATGCACTTTTTTGTTGTGGTAGAACATTTTGGTTCATTTCGCAAAAAGCGACCCCATATTTGATCAAAGTTGATGCATTGTTGGCATATTCTGAGCTTTTAGATCCCAAATTTGATGCTCCATATTAGTTTTTATTTTGCGGGGATATAATTTTGTTTGAACCAACATCTAGTTTTGGGGTTTTACACAAACCTATGCATATTTAAGTATCTTTTAGCTTGCTGGACCATTTGTGATATGCAGATCAGAAAATTCTGAAGGACAACTTCAAATAACCGAGTCTTCAGTACGGTCATACTTTGTGCAGCAAGCAGATGGGAAATGGGAATGTCAGCTACCCACTGATCCTGAATCCACAGCGTCTCATAGACTGCCGATTGGTTTTGTTACAACAGGATTCATACCAGGAAGGTCAGTCAGTAAAGCATCCTTTTTAATAAATAAAAATGCTGCCTTTGTCCCGTTGAAGGTTCCCATGACAAAACGGCTCGGTTATTTAGACAAGGGAAAACTGTCAAATAGGTCCACGTACTTTTCACAAAAAGTCAATTAAGTCCATCTACTGTTTTTCTAGTCAATTAAGTCTATGAACTATCAAAAACAATCAAATCGACTATTTAATAGGTAGCCAACCGGTTATCCGGTTGACCGCCTACGTGGACATCCACTTGGCATTTTTTTTATTCTTTTCTATTTTTTTCCCTTTTCTTTTTCTTTTTCCTTTTGTGTTTCTTTTTGCCTGCATCCACATCTCCCTGTGGTCTGCAAGTGCCGATCTATGGAGGAGGTGGTGGCAGCTAACTGGCTATGGAGGCCGGTGCGATTGGAACCTTGGAGGTCGTTTCAATGGAAGAAGCGGAGGTGGAAGTCGGAAGCGGTGGGTACGGTGGTACGGACGGCAGAGGTGGTGGCTATGGAAGCCGGCACAGTTGGAGGTCGTTTCAGTGGAGGAGGCGAAGGGGAAGCCACACAGGTGGTGGCCGGAGGCGGTGTGTATTGTGGAAGGGGCGATTGAGGCCGGTGAAGGTGGAGGCCGGACTTCGGAGACGTGGCTATGGAGGCGGATGGGCGGCGGAGTTGGTGGCTAGAGAGGCCGGAGCAACGAAAAATGAAAGAAAGTAACCGGATTTACGGTGGAGACAAGAAAGAAAGGAAGAAGCGAACAAGGGGGAGCAGGGGACTGGGAGAGGAGAAGAGGAACCAGCCAAGAAAGAAAGAAAGAGAAGAGCAAAAGAAAAAAGAAAAAAGGAAAAGAAAAAAATTAAAAAATCGGAAATTAGTAAAAAACGCCAGCTTGGACATCCACGTAGGCAACTCACCGGGTAACCGGTTTGCTACCTGCTAAATAGCAAATTTGGTCGTGTTTGATGGTTTGCGGACTTGATTGACTCGAAAAAAAGTAGATGGACTCAATTGACTTTTTCTGAAAAGTAGGTGAACCTATTTGACGGTTTTCCCTTTAGACAACAATTAAATAAGGTAGTTCGAGTATATTTTAAGAAATAATTTTAATAGGCATATAATATAATGAGGTCAGTGTTGATAACCGTGATGTTATAAGTACAACAACGACATCCAAGCCTTATTTCCAAAAGATTTTGGGGTTGACCAACATGAATCGATCTATGTTATCAGAGCAAAATAGCGAAGAAAGATAAGGAAAAAAAATAAGGTAAGATAAAATTGATAACATAAAAATAACATAAGAATATAAGAATAAAGAACATAAGAAAAATAAAAGATGAAAATAACATCAGAACAAAGAATGAAAAAATAATAAAAGATAAAAGAAAGAGAAAAGAAGAAAAGAGATCAATCGTCCACACATATATGCACCATCCACTTTGCTCTTTTCAAAGCCATACTCTCATCCAAACCGAAAAGAAGCATATCGGTTCTGATTCCTCTAATCCAAGTCCGATTCATCTAAGGGTCCGTTTGGTTTGGGGTTATCTCACCAAGTTCCATGCCTTAGGTTATCTCACATTCCCGGGGTTGATCTAATTTTCTTCCGAAAATACCCTCAATTAATTATCGCTTTTCATTAAATTTCTCTATGTATTCAATTTTTATCACATTTGAATTTTTGTGATTTTATAAAACTTTTAATGTAGTTTCTAAATATGTAAATTTTATTTACTAAAAATAATCTTATTATTGACAGAGAGCAGTTAATTTTAGAGGGTTTTCCTTAAATATTACTAAAATATAAGTTATGGACAAAATTATTACTACGGTTAATATGCATAGTCACTATGATGTAAAGTTGAACACTGTCATGGTCAATAAAGTTACTATTATAGTCACTAAGTCATATTTGTTTTCATTATTATCGTTTCGGTTATATATTTGTCATTATTTCTTAATTTTATAGTCAATCGAATATTTTACATTGTGTGACAACCTTTTAAGTGGGACGAATGAAGTATGTTTATTTAATTATATTTGAATGTCTATTCTTGTTATTTTCATAATTCTTTTTTACTTAACATTTAAATTTTTGAAGGTATTTATGTTATTTAAGTTTTTAATGAGTGGATTCCAAAATTTAATGGCAAAATTGATCATTTTTTCTTTAATTTGAAAACAAGTTTTACGAATAACTTGAACATTTTTTAAATTTAGTTTGTTTGAAATGATAATAAATATATTTAGATTGCTATTTGAACAAAGTTTTTTTCATCTCTGTATTGGATCTACAACCTCTTACAATTAAACCTACTTAAAAATAATTCAATTAGATTTGATTTTATTAATTATTAAGATATTCAATATTTAAAGGGCATTTAAGTAATCCACCATATCTGCAATATAAGATATTTTTTAACCAAATAAATTAATGTCACATTCTCTTAATCTTCACCAAACACAAATGGGAATAAATTGAATACATTCCCATCAATCTAATATACTCAGTAATCAGACATTCTCATGGTAATATGACATTCCTTGAACCAAACGCCCCCTAATTATTATTTTAATATTTAATGATTAATTTGTCATTTAAGATTGCGCCATCCACTTTGCTCTGTCCAAAGTCATACTCTCATCCAACTAAAAAAGAAGCATATCAGTTCTGATTCCTCTAATCCAAGTCCGATTCCTCCAAATATTATTTTAATATTTAATGATTAATTTGTCATTTAAGATTGTTAATTGTTTCCTAAAATGGAAATGAAAACCTTTTAATGGGACGTCCAAAAAAGGAAAGTGAGAAACTTCCTTGGCTTTTTATGTTTTCTTTTTTAAAATCTGGAAATCATAATGCAGCAAGAAGCCTGTTGCAGTGGCTCTTTGTGAGGCAATCAATCTTGCATGTCTCAGAGAGGATCAGTGGAGGGTCACATCTCTTAAGCGAAGAAAGGAAATCTATGTATTGGTTAGGAATTTGAGGTCCACTACATATAGACTTGCATTGGCTAATATAATCCTGGAGCAAAGGGAAGACGATGATCTCGATTACATGTAATTGTGTTTCTTGGGGTTAATTTTTTTGGATGTTATTCATTACAAATACTCAACTACCCTTTCGTTTTCTACTTACGTTTTCTACTTTTATCTTCTCTTTCATAATTTATCACCACAACTATTACTTTTTTTACACTATTCATTACCCCTACCATTTATCTTAAACAACGATTAACGACTCCAAACCAATTGTAGTGGACTTTTAGATGCGGAGGGAGTATTTTTTAAGAATTTTTACATACTCCGCATGTTATAGAACATTCAGGTTGATACTGAATCATCTGGATTGAATGTTACTAGAGAGTTGGGGTGGATTGGGTTGGGTTCGGGTTGGGCTCTGGGCCCAAAAACATCAGGCCCGGTACTAGTCTGGGTTTGTATCGGGACCGGATCTGGCCTGGGGCTGGTTGGGTTGGGCCTTAATTAATTATTCTTTAAATTCTGTCTTTTTTAATTAATTCCAACCCCAAACCCCCAAACTGCCCAGCCCCACCCACCTAGCCGCTGACCCAAATGGGAAAAAATTAAAAATAATAATAATTGGGCCTACCTGTTCCGGTCCACCAAAATAGGAGCCCGATCTCCGCCTATTTCTTCTACCGGGTCGGGGTTCGAGTCTAGTCTTGGTCAACCGGGTTGGACCGGGCCTGCACAGTGACAGGCTGTGTCGAGTAGCGGGCTGGGTAGGAATGTCCCAGTCTATCCCTACTAGGTAGGGTTGGACTCAGGTCCGGGCCGGGTCCGGGTCGGGCCTAGGCCCGGGCAGGCCGGCGGGTCAGAAATGGTGGACCCGGGACCGGCCCGGGTAACCACCGGGTCCGGGCCGGGCCGGGCCGGGCCCATTATATTTTTTTTTTGTTTTCCTCTTCCTAATTAACCCCCCTCCCACCCCCAACCCCCCAAACCACACCAAATGGCCCAAAATGTCCAGCCTAACCCGAAAAGTTAAAAAAAATTGGAAAAAAAAAATATTTTTTGGCCCGAACCGGGCCCGGGCCCGGCCGGGTCGGGCCTTGTTTTGGGTGACCCGAGCCCGGACCGGAAAACCCACGGGCCGGGCCTACCCGGACTGGTCACTGACCGGGCCACCGGGTCGGGCCGGGCCGGAACAGTGCCGGTCCCGGGCCGGTTCCGGGTCGGGCCACCCGGCCTGAGTCCATCCCTACTACTAGGGAGTGATATTCATTCCTTTTGAAAAACATTTTTTCCTAAATGGTCGATATTGATGTTTTTAAGTTAGTGGATTTGTTGTATTTAAAAACTTTGAAGCTTAAAATAGAAAAGCAGTTAGAAATAAATTGAGAGCTTTTAAATTTATTCTTTAATTAATATTTCATTCAGAATATTCCATTTCAAAGTTGAAATTACTCCGTACATTTTTACTGGAAAACTGTGTATGTATTATCAATCTATCATAGACTCTTCTACATCAATATCTAATATCTAAGTCTTAATCCTAAAAGAATACATACTCTTCTATAATCACTATAATTAAATACTTTTCAAAAGAAAAGGAGACAAACTTTGTTGATTAAAATAAGAACTAAAATTATACTTCTTCCGTCCCATTGGACTTTGCCAAATTTCCCTTTTTAGTTATCCTAAAAAACTTTGTCACTTTCCTATTAATGCAATTAATTTGTGATTTTGCACATTTCTCTCTTCTCTGTACAAATTTAAACCACACAGTTTTTACTTTTCTTATTTCCCACGTACTTTGCATTTAGCAAAGTCCACCGGAGGTGGTATAAAAAAAGCAAATGTGAAAACAGGTCAACACCTAACTCAAGTTGAAATATTCTATCTTATTACTCCATCGTTTATCTGTTGCCGGATCAGAAACATTCCCATTGGTTGGTTTCAATTATTAACAGGATAAAGTCATTAAAAACAGAATATGATAGTGTAAGCGAATTAGGAAGAAAAGTGAAGCAAATGATGTCCGCTGCATTATTGTAGACTTTTGTTGGTATTATATTATTGCCTGTCCCACAGAATATTATTCAAATTACTACTACTACTATATAAAATTTACACTATATGTGAAGAAGTTACAATAGAACTATGCACGCGCAAGATCTAATGGAGAATAACAAAAAATTGATAATTAAAAAAAAAAAAAAATGCGTTGGTAAAGAAACACATACACAAACAGTGAAAAAGACAAAATTCATCAAATCATTAAGAGCTTGGTAAATGATAGGCATATTATTAAACACAAGGGTCCTGCTAAAGATTTAGTAACATCTGAATGGTTTCAAAGGCAATTGGCCACACGGTTGCAATGGTTAAAATGGCTCAAAAGATTGAAACGACGGAATCTATTGAAGTAAAAGTGTTTGGTAATATATTAACTGAAATAACTGATTGAATGTAAAATTACCATAAAGGGTATTAAACTATCATATATATTATTGCTTTTCCTTAAAATTATTGTACATCTTTTCTCGTGAGAAATAAACAAGTCAACATCCTATGTACATAAATGAAATATGGCCAAATTTTCTATAGTTAGGGTCTTTTTTTACAACAAAAAAAAGAAAATCTAGAAACAATTCACCAAACTTCTACCACCTAAAAGCCAAGAGCTTGACAAAAAACAGGTCAATTTAAAACATAAGAACAGAAAAGAAAATCACATAAGATTCTTAGATTATGAATAGAAAAACTGGAAATTGCAGATTAATAGAAGAGAAAGCAAGAGTGAGCAAGCCCGTTTTCAGCTGAAGGGTTTGGGAAAAATTCTGATATAGGGTTGGGGTAATCTTCCGATACGAATCATTCTCATATATAGTTGATATGTAATGATTCGCCAGATCAGTATTCTGCCGTTGGGTATTCTTCCGATACAAGCGAGCTAAATGATAATCTTGCATTGATCTCTACAGCCGTGCTAGGGTAAAGGGTCTTTACCATTGAACGGTGGAATAATAAATATCAACTGGAAAAGTAGCTATACACTTGTTTTTTCAGCTCATAAGAAAAATCAGCTCAGGTAGCCAATTTGGTTCGTGTTTTGAGAACTTTAAGCATTTTTAGGCTTATCATCCTATTTTTGGTTCTCCAAACGGCCCCTAAGATATAGATAATATTCCTTCTGTCCCATTGGACTTAAAAAACTTTGCCATTTTCCTATTAAAGCAATTAATTTGTGGCTATGCACATTTCTCTCTCCTCTGCACAAATCTCAACTACACAGTTTTTACTATTCTTATTTCTCACCTACTTTGCACTTGGCAAAGTCCACCGGGACGAAGGTGGTAGTAGTATATAGGATGTATACAATAATTTATAATGAAGAAATAAATTCTATTAGGAGTATAATGAAGTGTTTTTTATATAATATAACTGGCAACAACCAGGCCACTGACCTTATTCTTATGATGATGGAAAAAGCAACAGTATAAATACATACATCAGAAAGGAACAACACGTATGTTGCTGTCACGCAACCGATGAACTGTGTATCGACAAAATGTCCACTAAGCATCAGTATTATTATAATTCTAATTATTGTTATTATACTTATAATTATTGTTACATGATAGTGCACCCATTTGTGTTTTCTTCACTGAAGTAAGTGTGATCACACCTGCACCCGTAGTAACCCTTGGCCTGTCCACAACGACACCAATTGGCTGAGTAATTGTCATAGCAAGGCTGCTGGGGCGGTGGTAGCATTGGTGGTGGGGCCATCTGTGCTCCGTACCATTCGTAGCACGGCTCATAACAGTACATCGCAGGCGGATACCCGTGAGAAACCGGCATCACTGACACCTGCCCCGGTCCGGGCACGTTTGACATTGGCTCCGGTTGCTTCATCGGTATAAACATCGGCTCTGGCATTGGAGGACCTTGTTTGGGCTTCTCCGGGCCTCTCGGCATATCTCTGGGCTTGTCAAAGCCTTTCGGCATATCTTTGGGCTTCTCTTGGTCTTTTGGTTTCTCTTTGGGCTTCTCTTGGTCTTTAGGCTTCTCTTTAGGCTTCTCAGCCTCCTTCGGCTTCTCGGCAGGTTTGGGAGCATCTTTCGGCTTCTCGGCAGGTTTGGGAGCATCCTTGGGCTTCTCGGCAGGTTTGGGAGCATCCTTGGGCTTCTCGGCGGGTTTGGGAGCATCCTTGGGCTTCTCGGCCGGTTTGGGAGCATCCTTGGGCTTCTCGGCCGGTTTGGGAGCATCTTTGGGCTTAGGTGGTTCAATGATTTCAATACTCTTAATAACGCCACCTCCCTTGTAACACAATTTATCACGGATCTTCTCAGGGCTACAGCAAACCACTGTGATCCTAACCTTATTCTCTTCTTCCATGTATATTTGGTCTCTGATTTCTTGTGGTCCAAAATATATATTGTTGATACATAAAACTATTAGCTCTCGTACTCATATAAGTTAAATATCGATGTGGAATAATGTGATGTGGAATAATACAGAGTACATGTGAGCTTGGCTCATTGGAGACACCAATCTTTGATTATGAATTATGATCCCTACTTCGCTAGTTTTTAGAATCTTAAAATAATAACCATTAGTCATTTGAGTTTGATTAACTATGATACAATAGTGAGAATTTATATTCATTCTAAAATATCAACCACCTGATAAGAATAATATTTCAAAAATTATATATTGGTTAATGTGTGATGATTTAAAAAGATTTTCCATGGTTTTTTTCATGACATTGGAATTACTTTTTTATTTAGTCTTCACTTATATAGCCTTTTTCATGACCGCATAATTTAGTCTTTTTAGTAATTACTTTTTCATTTGTGTACATTCATATATAGTCTTCACTTATTGGATGTTGAAAAGTTATCTAACTTATAAACATTAATAAGTGAAGGTTACATATGAATATTCATAAGAAATGTAAGAAAATGCAGCTCTAAACTTTTTTTAATTGCGACAGTTTATAATCCAATTGAAGTATGGAGTAATTTTTATACTCTGTGTGTTGAAGGATTTATAAACCTCTTATGCGCCGTATGATATTCGGAGTATTACCTTTGTTCGGGTAAACTTTGTCAAATTCAAAGTAGGTGAGAAATAGAAAAAGTAAAAATGTGTGGTTGAAATTTGTACAGAGGAGGAGAGATTTTTAACCTCTTATGCGCGGTATGATATTCGGAGTATTACCTTTGTTCGGGTAAACTTTGTCAAATTCAAAGTAGGTGAGAAATAGAAAAAGTAAAAATGTGTGATTGAAGTTTGTGCAGAGGAGGAGAGAGAATTAAACAGAATCACGAATTATTTGCTTTAATAAAAAAGCATCACAAATTTTTGGGACAACCAAAAGGAAAAGTTGTCAAAGCACAATGGGACGAAGGGATACATTACTCCATCCGCCATTAAATTAAAGTCTCACTTCCTTTTTAGTTATTCAAGAAAATTGAACTTACCCTCTTTAGATACACATTCTCATTTTGAACTTTATCCTTATATTATAGTTTCCCTTTATACCTTTTATAGACATTTACTCTGTCCTCGGGTACAATCGTAAAGTTACAATCTCATTTACTGATTTAGGGCCATTTACTTCTAAACACGTCACCGAAATGTAACATAAATTTTGAAAGGGAGGACTTATTATACTCCGTAACTACTCCCTCCAGTCCTCCCTCCAGTCCTTAATTGAATTACAAACTTTGACCGGCACTAGAATTAAGAAATGACAATAAATTATGCTTGCTTTTTACACTTTTGTCCATCTTTTTAAAAGTAGATGTTTTTAAGTTAATGGGGAAAAAGTAAAAGTACGGATAAATTTGTCACTTTATTCTTATTTATATACTTAAAATAGAAAGTGGAAAATCATTTTGGGACAACCAAAAAAGGAAATTTTGCAAATCAAATTGAGACGGAGGGAGTATATAACATCACGAGCTCGTTTGCTAAAACATACGGAGTAAATTTTAATTTCATACATTGAACTATGTGCTAATCAAAATCAATAAGTTATAATTGCTTTTAAATACATATTTTTCATAATCAACATATTCAGCTTTAGTAAGAATTCATCAATTTCAAACTTTCTATTGCTTTTAATGAAGAAAAAAGGAAACAGATAGTGACGTAGTAACTAGTAATAGCCTACAGCCTAAAAATAAAATACGCTTTAAAAAAATAAAAAAATAAGAAATAGTACAGAGTAATATTAATAAATTTGAACACGGAATAGTCCGTATAACTTTATTCTAGGAGCCCCTTTCGTAACCTATATTTTTATCTTAGAATCATTATCAATCAACAATTTTTTATCGACCAATAATAAAAGTTAATCCTCTCTATCGATAATTAATTCAATTTTTATTAATTAAAATTTACATATTCAGAAACTACATTAAAATCTCTTCAAAGTTGTAATCTCCAAATTATAATATAATTAAAAATTGACATCCTAATTAAGCAAATAAAATGAATCTGTTTGATCAAGAAAAGTCAAATTTGTAAATCAATTTGAGACGGATGTAGTATGTATTAACCGGGAAGGAATTTCTTTTCTAACTAAATTTGGTGCTAAAAAAGGCTATTTTAGGTACTTTTTCATTTTTTTCTTTATTTTATTAATAAAATAAGGAGTATATTTAAGATATTTTTAGTAATTCAATAAAATATATTTTATGTAAGTTTCACCATATCCAGCAAATTTAGTCAATTTAACGTTACTAATATTTTACTCTATCCATGTAATCTAGTGTTTGTTAGTAAATCTGACTCATAACCAAGAAGAAAAAGAAACATATCAAATAATCAAACAGGTATCGAACATAGATTTTTTCCACTGGTGGGGAAGGGTCGGAAAGAAACCATACACTTCCTAAATATGTGTGCAATAATGTTTAGATCCAACTTATTCATGTCGGCAGATGCAGTGAAAAATTTGCAGGGATTATAGATACTCACGAGGGAATTTGCAAATGATTTTTTTGACCTTCTTGTAGCAGCTTGAGCACTTTAGATCAACACTCAGGACCATCATTGTGATCTGTTCCAAATTTAAAGTGAATTCCGACTTTATGAATCGCTACTCATTATACAAAGTCCAGAATATCACCAGAAAGCATATCATACAGATCCAACAAACAAACAAATCAATCATATTCTCAGAATATCCAAACGATTCTGCTATTACAGTAATTCTACCAACCGTTCGGTAAGAAACATTTCGCTGAAATTAATCGCACTCGGTAAAATCCAAATCGGCTAAAAAGTAAGCCAAAAATGACCTATTTTGATTATTATTCCTAAAAGTAGAATAAGCCGAATCAGTCTACCAAACAGGTTTCGAGCCTTACCAAATTTTACAAACACTGTCGGTGAAAAGAGTAGAGACGCAATTGGGAGTAAAATACATAAAGTGCAGAGATATACCTTCTCAGTTTTGTCATGCCCCATAGCTAAGGCTTTTAGGGAGTGATTGGAAGGAAGGATGGAATGGTTATGGAGGTCTGGCAAATGAAATGAGGAGAGACAGAGAGATGGGGATTTCTTTATTTGTAGGGAGAGGGAGAAGAAGGGGAGAAATTGAAGAGAAAAACTCAACCAAGTGGAGATTTATTAGATGGTGATATCATCAAATGAAAAAGATTGGGATGGGGTAGGGGTAGGGTGGGTGGCCTGGTGGGGTGGGGGTAGTCTTCCTCCCGGCCTATATTTATGTTGCTGCCTACTCTACTCTCTTTTGCATGTGGACGCATCATCATCCCAGATGCAACTACCAGCTAAACTTTTTATTCCAAACAAAAAAATTAGTCCTTCCGTCCCAATTTAATTTGCAAAATTTTCTTTTTTTATTGTTTCAAAATAGTTTTCCACTTTCTATTTTAGGTATGTAAATAATAATAAAATGACAAATTTATCCTTACTTTTAATTTTTCCGTCCCCATTAACTTAAAGTCATCTACTTTTAAAAAGATAGGCAAAAGTGTAAAAAGCAAGCATCATTTATTGTCATTTCTCAATCCTCGTGCCGGTCAAAGTTTGCAATTCAATTAGGGACGGAGGGAGTATGTTGCTGCCTACTCTACTTTATTTATTATAGAGTATTATTTTTTTTTTTTTATTTTTATTATTTACTCCGTGTTACTTACATGCAGAGATGTGCATGCTGCATTTGATGTGTGGGCTTACTAGGAAAGACCGCGTGAGGAATGAGACAATCAAACAAAGGGTGGGAGTAGCACCTATTGAAGATAAGATGCGAGAGTCGCGCCTACGGTGATTTGGTCATGTGCGTAGAAGACCGAGTGATGCACCTGTTAGACGAGTTGAGATGTGTGGAGAAGAGGCAGGAAAGAGAGGGAGAGGAAGACCTAAACAGACGTGAGTTAAGAGAGTTCGAAGTGATATGCTTATTCTCGGGTTGAATGAGAGCATGACTTTGGAGAGAGCTAAGTGGATGGCGGGTATTCGTGTGGAGGAGTGATCTCGTATTATCTTTTCCCCTCATCTTTTTTTCCTTATTTTTTATCCTCATATATAAGCATTATTTGTATCCTTTTTATTTTATCAATTTTATGTATATTCATCTCTTTTTATATTATCATTATAATAGCTTATTTTTTTATCTTTATTTTCTGTTAGCCGACCCCAATATCTTTTGGAACTAACGTTTGGATGTTGTTGTTGTTGTTACTTACAGGCAGACCCGATCCTGACATTTTATAGGTCTACTGGTCTAGGACAGTAAAAGTAGAGTAGGCCTTTTTGATAACCTATAAATATTTATAATAGTTTTTGTCATAAAAATCCATGAGTAAAATAAAGTAATTTTGTCATCCAAATTTGAGTATAACACATCATAGAAACTAATAAGATAGACGTCTAAAAAATACATTTAAGTATATGATAAGTGACATCGAGCTGAACCTACTATGCACTTAAACCAACTGAATGAAACATGCAGTGCAACTATTACTTGCAATAAATAATTTTGTATTAGGAAAAAACATGAAAGATCTTTCGTATAAGTAGTAGTTTTTTCATATCACAATTTGAGTAGACTAAAAGAAATTACAAGTTTCTAAATTCTGGATACTATAGTTCAAATTTTAAATGTTTCACTAACATGAGAGAACCAGTGATCAACGAATCATAAACATACATGAAAGAAGTAGATCAACATATTAACATAAATGCATTAACCGTAAATGAATCAAAAGAAAAGGTGAAGTATGTACCCAAGAAATGGTGAAGTATGTGGATACTTCAAAATTTTAGAATTGTAGCATGTAGATGTTGTTGGATAATGAATTGATAGTATCAAAAAAGTTACAAGTTTGATATTATTTATTAATTTTTATAGATCTCAAATGATATACTACGTATGTAATTAATACACACATACTCCCTCCGTTTCTGAAACAAGTTCCACATTTGACTTCACACATATTAAGAAAATAAATTTGACTTTACTGTGGAGTGCACTGTTTGAACACTGTTTGATAGAGTATATCTAGAGAGAAGTGAGAGCTAGAGAGAGAAGTGCAATATATGCTTCAATAGAATGATTTTGTAACCCCTATAACTACTCCCAAGGGGAGTATTTATAGAGAAAATACGGGCTGGGCCCCCAAGCCTTGGGCTTGGGAGGTCCATTTACAACTGGACCGCTATTGGGCCGAATACAAAGCCACTAATGGGCTGTACAAACGAGTAAGTGTAAAATCCGGTTCTGTGAGGTCTTCGTGGCCGACGAGGGCGTGGCCGACGAGGGCACGGCCGACGAGGGCGCGGCCGACGAGGGCACCCGGGTTCCTTGGACTCAGGACCATATTCTGAGTTGGCACCTTTTCGGCCGACGGGGGGTCCCTTGGCCGACGAGGGCACCAATCAGTGTCTTGTGCTTTCTGTTCTTCTGAGTATGTGGGTCCGGGGGCTCAGACCCATATACTCCATCAGGAGTCCCCCACTCTCTAAGTTGAGACGTAGACGAAGTGAAGGAGAGTAGATTCCCGTGCTTTGGTGCTTCTGGCCGACGCGGGCACCCCCAAGCCGTCAGCTGTTGCGGCGTTGGCGCTGTTTCCCTTTTGGTGACCTTGTTCTGTGTTTGGCCGTCACCTGCTCCTCGTTGTGGACGGGGAGGTCGTTGTTTCCTTGGTGTGTTCGTTTGAGGACGACGAGTGTCCTGCTTCGATGGTGGCCGTTGAAGGCGCGTTTTCCCTTTCTTGGACGTTGGTGGTTGAGATTTACATTTGGGCCGATGAGGCTGTTGAGGTTGAACCTTGCTTCGAGGACGATGGTGTCCTTTCCTTTGGGTGGCCGGTAAGGGTGCTTGCGCACTCCTTTTGGTCGTCACTGATTGGCTTTCATGTTCTTGGCCGAAGAGCCCATTATGATTAACTGTTGGCGGGGGACGATGAATGTCCTTGCCTTAGGTGGCCAGTTGGCCATTGCTGATGATGTTATGTGCCTTTGGCCGACGAGGTGCAGTGCGATACATGGACGATGTGGTCATGCTTTGTGGTTACAATTGTGTCCTTTGCATTTTTCCTTTTGTTTTGTTGAGGCCGATGTAGTCCCCCAATCCCCCACTGCTTCAGGCCGAAGAGAGTGAGGGGTGAAGGGGTTGCTTGAGTCCCTGGCCGAAGCGGCTTCTCCGTAGTCCCCCTGAATCCAACCCTCATGGCGATTTTCTGGCCAAGGTAACCCTGTGGGAGAACCCTTGTGCGCAGATCGCTTGTAGAGAGTTATCATCAAGGGTCGTTACGGAGAGCCGATGGGCGTTCATGACATTCCTGGCCGAAGTTATCTCATTAGTGTTGGCATTTGTGAACTTGGCAGGCGTATAGGCCGTTGTGGGCGCTTGCTGGCACTTGTGAAGCCGGCAAGCATATAGGCCGTTGTGGGCGCTCATTGTCCCTGATACGTTGGTTCACGAGCCCGGCCCATTTCTGAAGGGGTGGCACCTCATCGGCTGCTGAGAAGGTGACCGCTGAGGTGGCCATTAATATGGTGCCACGTGTAGTGACCGTTGGAGATTTGTCTATAAATACCCCCCCTCCTCCGAAGCGGTTCCTCACTTGCATTCTTGAGATATTGAAGTGCTGCCCAAATTTCTAGAGAGAGAGAGTCTTCAAGGTGTTCTTCGAGTTCTTCATACCTTCAAGGTTAGTTCTTGACTTGTTCTTCAATTCCTTTGTATACTTAGCTTCCCTGAGCCTTGATCTAGTGTTAGTGGATAAAACGCCTTAGATCCTAAGTTATTCCCCTTAGGCTCGTAATAGTTGTTATGATGAAGAGCTTAGACGAAGAGTACTATCCGTACAACGACCAACCCTCCACTAGGTCACTCGACTATGAGGTGCTTGAGGAGTTCGAGGAAGAGATAGAGCGTTTAAGTCCTTACAAGTCCGGAGAGTCGGTGGACGACGAAGGTGAGGATGAGGAGTCCACCTCGTCTTCAAAAGGTGAGGACGCAGGTGCGTCCCGAGTGGTGGACGGGGCGTCCACTTCCGCTGTTATCCCGTGCCCGAGACCGCTGTCTGCCGTGAAGGGAGCAGATAAGCCGAAGAGAATAAGGAGGCCGAAGAGTGGGCCGGGCGTCTCATACCTGGATCTCACAAATATTTTCCTGATCAAGCCGGAGAGCAGCGCGGCTGACTACTTAGTTGCCCAGATGTACGTGGGGCCGTTCGGGAGGGTTAGGGCACCCAGGCTGACGGACCATGTACTTAATCCGCCACTGGGGTACTTCGGAGTATACCCGATGAGTTTCGCCAAGGGGCTGAGGTTTCCCCTTCATCCCTTCATAACTGAATATCTTGACATGGTGGGGCTCCCTCCGGCCTTGCTGACGCCGAACAGCTACTCGTTGATGGTGGGGTTCTTGCTCCGCTGTGAGGAGCTGGGCAACAGGCTGACGACGGCTCTGTTCATGAATCTTTATCAGATCGGCCGAGGAAGCCACAAAAACTGTGCGGCCTATGCTACCCTCCAACAGCTGCCGAAGAAGAGGAGCTTCACGGATTTGCCTTCGTCCATCCATGGATGGAAGAGCAAGTTCGTTTTTGTATCCCTTGGTGAGAACGGCACTGAGTTTCCCTCTCTCGGCCACACCGGGAGGTTCAACCTGCACGACCCACCGAGGAGTTCGATCTTGGACGCTCAGGTGGAGGCGTTCTTGGAAGGGGGGCCGAGGAGCGTGAAAGACTACATCACTGAATATAAGATGACCGCCCTCGGCTTCTTAAGATACTATGTGTATGGCGACAAGGAGGACGATGTCCAACTTTGGCCGAGGATGACCACTACCTTCGAAGAGGCCGACGGCCCGGATTTGGGCATTCCTGCTGAGGCCGATGGTAATACTTTCTTCGGCTTTCTTCCTTTGTTATTTGTTCTTTTGCCTTGCTAATCTGTTCGTTTTCCTTTGTGTAGATTTTATTATGGATCGCCGTTCAATCATGGCCATAGCCAAGGCCAAGGTGGCCGAGGAGTTGGCTGCAAAGGCGGCCGAGGCGGCCAGACGTGCCGCGGCCGAGGGGGGCGGGGCTACTGCTAGTGCGGCCCCGAAGCCT